AAGTGGTACTAACTCTGCACTTGATCTTGATTCTATGGTTCTAGTAATAAATCAGTAAAATTGGACCTACCTTTGTGGATCTGGTCGTTCACACTTGTCATTAACCTTTTCAATTAACCAGATGAATGTCAAGCATGAAACCTATCCCTGGGCCCTCTTCTTCCACCCATACCTGTCCCACCATATTTGCTCCCAATGAAAAACTTCTACTCATAACTTAAAGTTGTTTTATATCCAATGTGTGTTGAACAGATTTTTTCCAGGAAGGAGGAAAGAGGACAGTTCAATAAAAGGGAATTATTCAGCAGTCAAGAGGAGTGATATTTACAGAAGACATCCTGGTCTTGTTACGAAATGCTGCCCATAGTTTGCTCTGCCATCTTAGGCTTCATGCCAAATGCCTCAAGGGAGAAGCATGAAGTCAAATAGATGTACCTGTTGTGTTTGTACAACTATTCTCTATTATGAATTATTATTTAGCAAAAGGATGCAGGAACATTTCCCAATCTTGGTGTTCCTCCAACTAAATGACTTTCAGAAGATGACCTTGGCCAGGGTTATTTCCAAATTGGCATCTTTCTAATTCTGTACCATGCAGTTCCATCATTTGTGTTTTCCTTCAACCTCAACAACTGTGATAGTGAGGTACTAACACCACTCTATAAAGCCTTAGTGAGATCACACCTAGAGTACAGCATCCAGTTTTGGTCACCACGCTATAAAAAAGATGTTGAGACTCTAAAAATGGTGCAGAGAAGAGCTATCAAGATGATTAGGGGACTGGAGGCTAAAACATATGATGAACGGTTGCAGGAAGCAGGCATGGCTAGTCTGGTGAAGAGAAGGACCAGAGGAGACACGATATCAGTGTTCCAATATTTGAGGGGCTGCCACAGGGGCTGCCATTTCTCTCCCTCCATACATCTTTCATGTTTATTTCCTCTATCATCTTGAAGAAAGATTTTGGTAATGTCTTTCTATTATGTCTTGTTGTTTTACGTGTTTTATAGCCCAAGCTTTCATTCACAATTCCATTAAAATCTCCCATCATACATATATTATCATATTCCATTTCAATTATTTTATTATGTAATTTTCTATAAAAGTCTCTTTGATTGTCATTTGGAGCATATATTGCTACTAGAAGAATTTTCATATTATTATCAATTGATTCCACCATCAGGATTCTACCTTCTTCGTCTGCATATTTTTGCTCCGCCAGTATTGCATTTTTAATATATAAAGCAACTCTTCTCTTTTTAGTTTGTGATAGTGATAGAAAAGTTCTTCCAAGTTTTGGTTGTATCAATAGTTGTTCATGCTATTTTTTAATATGCACTTCTTGTAAACAAATTATGTCAAATTTTAGTTTCTCTAATTTATGAAATACTTTCCTTCTTTTAATAGCTGAATTTAGTCCATTTACATTTATTGAAATTAATTTCCTTTCTTCCATGTTCATATTTTATATGTAGGTTTTGTTGTTCTAGTTGATCTTACTTCACATTGCTCCTTATATTCCACAACCCCACCGACAGCTCCTTCTGTTGATTCAAGAATTGCCAGTTCTTCTTCTGTGAATGTAATTGGATTACATTCACAGTACTTGCATTACTTCTGTAATGCAAGTTCTGCAGTACTTCTTTTTCTTTAAGAAATTTATCGTAAAAAGCTTTTGCTTTCTCAATTGTATTCAACCTATATCTTTGGAGCTGCCATGTGAGAGTTAATCCTTCTGAGACCAGCCATCTATAGTTAACTCCTTTTTGAATCAGGATTTTTGTCAAGAATTGGTATTCTCTTCTCAGCTCTCTAATCTTTATTGGTATTTTTTTCAAGACAGCCACTTCTTTCTCCTTGTACTTCAGGGTTTTTTCTCTAGCTGCCCGAAATATTTGTGTTTTAATCGATTTCTTGATAAATCTTATGTGTACTTCTCTTGGCAGTTTGTTGCGCATAGCATATCTGGTATAAACTCGATAAATTTCATCGACCCCATCCATCACCTTCTCTTTAATAATTTCTAGTGCCTCAGGCAGCATATTAATCATAATATCCACCAAATTTTCTCCTTTTTCTTCCTCCACATTTTGTAATCTCAAATAAAATTCTGGTTTATCCATCTCCCATCCAATAAAACCACTTGTTTTTTGTTCAACCTCTCCCAGTCTATTCTCTATGTATTTTATTTTTTCCTCTTTTTGATCATCTCTCTTCTCTAGTTTTGACATTCTTTCTTCATATTTTGACATTGTTTGCCGAATACTGACCACTTTTTCATCCATTTTTTGAACTTTCTCATCTGTTTTAAGTAGTTGTTGTTCCATTCTTAAAACTGTTTGAAAAATCATTTGTAGTGATGGGTCATTCTCTTTCTCCTTCTCTTGCTGCAACATTGCTTGTATAGATCATTTTCCTCCAGATGGTGATGAAGAAGGCATGGAGGCAGCAACTCCCACTGTTGCTACTTTTGAATATCCAGCCAAAGCAATGTCCAGGAAAAAAAAACGAAGTTTTAAAAAGAAAAGGCCAAACAAATAAAAAAGGGAGGAAAAATCAATAAAAAGCCAAATTCTTCAGGTTCTTTCAAACCCTAATCCTTTAAGTGGATACAAAAAGGAGGAAGAAGAGGGTAGAAAAAACGAAAAGGAAAAAAAAGAAAAAAAAAGATATGTAGAAGTATAACCAAGAGCTGACAAAACAAAAACAAAAACAAAAAAAAGAATAAAAAATAGTGTATAAAATCTACTTAAATATCTTCACGCTCTTGAATGCCTTAATCAATATGATTATTTAAAAATCCCAAAACAATGAAAATGAAAAGTATAGGGAGAAAACAGAAACACCAAGAAAAAATAGTCCTTCAGGCACATTTATATCCGAAAGGCATTCAGAGAGTGATTTCTTAGAAGCCACAGATTGAAAGAAAAAAGAAGAGAGCAAGTAGCAGCTCAAAAGAAAACAAAAGCCAACAATGATATTTTAAGACTCCTACTCCAACTAAGTTCAAGGAAAACACCTGTATAAACAATACAAGTAGTCCACTTTCTCAGATGTTCTCCACTCTTATCAGCATGACTGTACAGAGTCCCTTATATTTTGGCTACTGAGCTGTTATTTAAAAAAACATGGAAACAAAATATCTTTTCCAGTAGGTGGCAGTACACTCTCCTAGCTTCCCTATTTTAAATATTTTATTATTTTAAAGTCTAGGTCTTTTCCATTTAAAATTAATACAAAATTACAAAGGGAGAAAGAGAAAAAGGAAAGAAAGAGAAAAAAAGTGTCCATCTAAGCAGTCAAACCAAACTCATTTTTCCCAATGTGGTGCAAATGCAATTCTCGTGGCTGTTCTCCCTCTTGATGGCCTGTGCCTAATTTATGTTTTAGAATTTTAAAATTTATAATTGATATATCCACAGGTCCCCAATATCAAGAGTACATTTTTTCCCCTACCCGAAAACAGCATGTAAGGGATAAAAGAACCTCACACTGCACTACATTCATCAGGGTCTCAGGTACTTCCCAAGGTGCTATTTCAAGAGGTAACTGGACTTTCTAGTTTTTCTTTGAAGACATTTTGCTTTTCATCCAAGAAGCTTTTTCGGCTCTGAAGAAACTTCTTGGATGAGAAGCGAAACATACAGAGAGAGATACCGGGATAGATACAAAGGGGGAGAGAGAGATACAGAGATACAGAGAGAGGGTGAGAGAGAGGGAGAGGGGGAGAGAAGGGTGAGATAGAGGGAGTGGGGGAGAGAGATACCGAGAGATACAGATAGAGAGGAGGGAGAGAGAGGGGAAGATACAGATGGAGAGGGGGTGAGAGAGACATACAGAGATACAGAGAGAGGGTGAGAGAGAAGGAGAGGAGAGAGAGAGGGGGAGAGAGAGGGAGAGGGAGAGAGAAGGGTGAGATAGAGGGAGTGGGGGAGAGAGATACCGAGAGATACAGAGAGAGAGGAGGGAGAGAGAGGGGAAGATACAGATGGAGAGGGGGTGAGAGAGACATACAGAGATACAGAGAGAGGGTGAGAGAGAAGGAGAGGAGAGAGAGAGGGGGAGAGAGAGGGAGAGGGAGAGAGAAGGGTGAGATAGAGGGAGTGGGGGAGAGAGATACCGAGAGATACAGAGAGAGAGGAGGGAGAGAGAGGGGAAGATACAGATGGAGAGGTGGTGAGAGAGACATACAAAGATACAGAGAGATACACAGAAAGAGGGGGAAGATACAGAGGGAGAAGGGGTGAGAGACATAGAGAGATACAGAGAGATACACAGAAAGAGGGGGAAGATACAGAGGGAGAAGGGGTGAGAGACATAGAGAGATACAGAGAGAGGGTGAGAGGGTGAGAGAGAGACAGAAAGGGGGAGAGAGAGAAGATACAGAGCGGGAGGGGAAGAGGGGAAGATAGAGAGGGAGAGAGGGAGAGAGAGGGAGAGGGAGGAGAGATAGAGGGAGAGGGGGTGAGAGAGACATAGAGGGATACAGAGAGAGGGTGAGAGAGGGAGAGGGAGAGGGGGGAGAGAGACAGAGAGGGGGAGAGAGAGAGGAAGATAGAGAGGGAGAGAGAGTTACAGAAAGAGAGACAGGGAGAGGGGGAGAAAGAGAGACATAGATACAGAGAGAGGGGGGAGAGAAAAGGGTTTTGTGGTTCCTGGTTCTCTGCCCTAATGACCGGCTGGGTAGGCATGGCTGGGGGTGTCATCATGTGACTGGTGGAAATGTGTGATGTCGAGTTGGCCACGCCCACCCAGGTTTTGTGGCACTCAGTGTTTTTTTTTTCCCTGTGGGAAATGGGTCCAAATGGCTCTTTGAGTGTTTAAGGTTGCAGTCCCCTGCTCCAAGATGAGGAGCTAATAATCTTTGTTCCATCGCCAAAGAGAAAATGCCTTCAACATTTAAGTGTGGCTGCCCGAAGCAGCAGCTACAGTTAAACACAATAAAGAATGTGCGCTAAATATTCTCTTGACTCCTTTTCTTTTTCTTTCCCGCCGTTCAGATGGAAAGCTGAGCACCCCTTCTCTCTACATCCTCCCACCTCCAGGAGAACAACTGAATTCGCAAGAAGTACTCAGTCTCACATGCCTCATTGAAGGTTTTTATCCTAGAGACATCTTTGTGAAATGGCTCCAGAATGGGCAACCGGTCAGTGAATCGACATACCACACTGGCCCACCCAATTTACAGTCCAACACACCCGAACAGTATTTTGCCTATAGCAGGTTGACCATTAGCAAGCGGGAATGGAATGCTGGCGATACCTTCTCTTGCCAGGTGACCCATGAAGCCTTACCATTCCACGTCAATCAGAAGACCGTACAGAAGTCCACAGGGAAACCAACTATAGTCAATGTCCCCTTAATTCTCTCTGAAGCCACCAACATCTTCTACTAAAATTCTGTTGAGAAACCTTCGTTTGTTCTGCTCCCGCCAGCCTCTGTTTTCTCCTGCTTCGTGGTTGAGAATTCGTGGAAAGTTTTCAGCAATGAAGGCAGATCTCTGACGAAAGGTGTGTTCTGACCTAGGCTTCCTTAGAAAGTATAAAGCACAATCTTAGTCCCACAAAACCTCTTATATTGATACGGCTGTAAATTACTTTCATTTACAGTCTGCAAGGCTTGATAAACAGTCTTTCAGAGGAAGGTTATCAACACCCACCTTATCTCAGGTGGAACGCTGCCAAAGAGCTAATTTCCAGATGCAGGGAAAGGCCAAACTTGGCACAGAGTCACAAACAGAATTTTCAAATCTTGAATCGGCCAGGTGAACTAATTGCTTCCTGCAAAAACCTCATGTCCCATTCACTCTTCTTTTATATCTTATGGGAGGGGCCAATCATCTCCAAGCCTTACTCCCAAGTCGACCCTGTTTTCTTAATTGTTCTTGTCATCTGGCAGCTCTGTGCATGCGCACACTGGGAACAGGCTCCCACTATTCTTCTGCGTCGCTGCTGTCAGACTCTGGAGGCTGCACATAAGTATCAGATGGCCTTGGCCCCCTCTCTGCCTCTGATGCAGAGCCCTCATTCGAGCTTTCCCCAGCTCCCAGGACTGGCCCAAGTTCCTCCCCAACCTCCTCACTGTCCAACTCTGCTGCCAGCTCCCCTGGCCGCCGGCGGGCCACAACAAGATGTGTCAGTGTTAAAGCATTAGTTGGTGACATCTTTCTGAAGGCAAGAAATATTGTGTCATCAAGTATTTTTCTCAAAACAAGTAAAAAAACATAATAATCTGGGTGTAAGGTCCCAGAAGTTTCCCCGAGCCACTGAGATGCCAAAGAGAGTGAGACATGAGATGAGGCTTGCAAAAAATAACAGCTTTTTTACAGACAAAGGCATGTAAGGAATAGCCACACCCCTGAGAGAGTGGCTCATATACATTTTACTCAGGGGTGGGCTTCAAAAATTTTAGCAAGGGGTTCTCTGCCCGGTTGCTAAGTGGGCGTGGCCATGGTGGCCGTGGCCTAGTCAGCTTCCTGCACCACAGTGGGGGGCCGTTTTTGCCTCCCCATTGAGGTGCAGGAAGTTTTCTTTGAGCCTCGAGGAGGGTGAAAACAGCCTCCCCAGGCTCTGGACGCCCTCTGGAGGACAGAAACGAGCCCATTTCTGGCGTTCCCAAACTTCCGGTAGGCCCATTTTTTGCCCTCCCCGAGGCTCCAAACGCATCCTGCACTTACCTGCATCCAAAATGGGCCCAGTGGGAGAAGTGGTGAAATGTAAAATTTGTTACCACTGGTTCTGTGGGAGTGGCTTGGTGTAGGAGGGTAATGTGACTGGGTGGGCGTGGCCAACTTTTTTTTTTTTTTTTTTTAAAACCATTTTTTCTACAACCTCTTTGGCTGAAGATGTTGTTAAAAATGCTTTTAAAAGGCTCTGCCGATCAGGCAACTCGGCTGGGATTGTCAGAGCCTTTTAAAATCATTTTTTCTACAGCCTCTTTGGCTGAAGATGTTGTTAAAAATGCTTTTAAAAGGCTCTGCCGATCAGGCAACTCGGCTGGGATTGTCAGAGCCTTTTAAAATCATTTTTTCTACAACCTCTTCGGCCAAAGAGGTTGGGAAAAAAATGCTTTTAAAAGCCTCTGATGATCCCACCTGAGTTGCCTGATGAGCAGATGCTTTTTTTTTCTTTTAAAAGCCTCTGACAATCCCAGCTGAGTTGCCTGATCGGCAGAGGCTTTTTTTTCTTTTAAATGCCTCTGACGATCCCTGCTGAGTTGCCTGATCAGCAGAGGCTTTTTTTTCTTTTAAATGCCTCTGACGATCCCAGCTGAGTTGCCTGATCGTCAGAGGCCTTTTTTTCCTTTTAAAAACATTTTTTCTACAGCCGAAGGGGTTGTAGAAAAAATGCTTTTAAAAGCCTCTGATGATCCCAGCTGAGCTGCATGATCATCAGAGGCTTTTTTTTTTTTTTACTTCTAAAAGCATTTTTTCGGCTGAAGAGGTTGTAGAAAAAATGCTTTTAAAAATAATTTTAAAAAAGACTCTAATGATTAAGCAGCTCAGCTGGGCAGGGGGGGGGGCAGGGATTTTTGCTACCGGTTCTGCGAACCACCCACCTCCATCGCTACCAGATCAGTTGATCCGGTCTGAACCGGGAGCATTTCACCCTGCCATGGGGACTCCTGAAAGGGGCAGGGTGGGGTGGGAGGGGCCAACCAGGAGTGGGATTTGGGGGTTTTCCGAACTGTACAGAATCTTAGCTAGAGGTTTTCCTGAACTCCTGCGAGCCCCCAGCAGCCCACACCTGATTTTACGCCGATAGAAACAAAATTTACCCAGTCAGAGACAAAGGTTTGTTTCCAACATGGACTTTAAAGCATTCTTTGTTCAGCCCCCTGTCTCTGTCCTCCTTATCGATGGAGCATTCCAGCAGAATGCTTCCAGGATTCAGAATTTATGAGGCAGGAAAACTCCCTACTCTGGTTCCTTTATCTATAGGGCCTGATATTCTTGGGTAACAGTTTCTTCTATATTTTCAAGGATGTGCCTAGCTTTGAAACTAAAAATAGAAGCGAGACACAGAAGCAAGATAACAAACTGTATATTAAGGTTACAATTTACTAAGCTAGAATTAGTTCCTAACTCATCTGCACCTCTGTAAGTGCCTGGTTTGGTTCTGCAACCCAACAAGACAGACACAGACTTCAGAGGATAATTAGAACTGCAGAAAAAACAATGGCTACGAATCTGCCTTCCATTGAGGACCTGTATCCTGCACGAGTCAAAAAGAGGGCTGTGAAAATATTTACAGACCCCTCACATCCTGGACATAAACTGTTGCAACTCCTACCCTCAAAACGATGCTACAGAGCACTGCACACCAGAACAACTAGGCAGTAACAATTATATAGTAGCATCAGCAATTCATAATAAAAGCAAATAGCCAATATTCATGTAGTCCTTCATGGGTCTTGGAAGCTAAGAAAACCAACGCTTCCAGTCTTAACATGAATGTCATTTTGTTTTCAAGGCCTACAAGTCCAGCTCAGCAGTGGGTTTCAAATTTTTTTACTACTGGTTCTGTGGGTATGGCTTGGTGGGCGTGGCAGGGGAAGGATACTGTAAAATCCCCATTCCCTCCTCACTCCAGGGGAAGGTTACTGCAAAATCGCCATTTCCTCCTGATCAGCTGGGACTCTGGAGGCAGAGAATTGATGGGGGCGGAGCCAGTCAGAGGTGGTATTTGCCGATTCTCCGAACGACTCAAATTTTCCGCTACCGGTTCGCCAGAACTGGCCAGAACCTGCTGAAACCCACCTCTGGAGCCAGCTTATGGGAAGCAATTATAACCAGTGCTTGAGTGTTTCAAAATGGTAATAAATAATAAATACTAATTAAATAATACTTCCTCATAAATAATTATGAGGAAGTATTAGAAAGGAAATAAGATTCTAATATAAACATGTTTGATTGGTATTGTTTATTATGAGGATTTAGGCTAAGAATTGTGAAATGTATTATGAGTTATTAATTGAATTGAGACTTAAAGTAGGTTAATAGAAGGGTAATTCTTTTGATTAAATAAATAGGAGTAAACGTTGTTTAAGATGCTAATAGGGGTGATGGATGATTTAAGATTAAATATTGTTAATAGTGAGAATTTAGGGTAACAATTGTGAAATGTACTATGTGGAATTAATTGAATTGAGATTAAAGGGGGGTTAATAGAAGGGTAAATGTTTTAATTTTAAAGTAAATTTGAGTATTTTTTTAAAAAATATGGTATTAGATGAGAGAGGTGATTTAAGATTAAGAAATAAACGCTATGGCAAAATAAAATATATAAAATTTTGTTAAAGATGGGGGAAAAATATTGTATAAATTGATGACCGGATCAGGGTTCAGTTCCAAAAAGATGTAATTTGTGTGTTGAAAAATAAAAATAAAAAACTTTTTGCAAATTTGGTAATTTGTTAAAGGAAATGATATTGCTCAATAGTAGTAACTGTGAGAGGGATCTTGGAGTCCTAGTGGACAACCATTTATATAGGAGCCAGCCGTGTGCAGCAGCTGCCAAAATAGCCAACACAATTCTAGGCTGCATAAACAGAGGGATAGAATCAAGATCACGTTAATGTGAATGATGTAGGAATAGTATAGGATCAGCTATATGAACACTGAAGGACCCTCTTTATTCACAGTATTATAAAGTAAGAAATGTGCTTGTTTAGAAATTACACTAGGTCAGCTAAATTCCATTCTTGGTAATATATATATCTTCTGAGGGGCCTATCTGTCAAGGATGCAGAGACATCCATCTGAAACAAAAAGTTAATTATTATCCAAAAGCAGTCATGAATCTACGCATCAGCAAACACAGAATTGAGGAAGATTGTTTAGCTAAAATAATCTCATGAACTAGAAAATAATGAAAGAATTTAGTAATTAGAAAGTGTCAATTATAATGTAACAAATATATGTTAACCATATATGGAAAACTGCTGGGCTTGCAAAATCCTTTGTCTTGGAGATGTATAAAAGCAGTTGTATCAGAGCTCTTCTTTGTTCAGAATTGCAGATGCAAATCTGGTTCTGAAACTGTGCAATAAAACTGTCTCTGGCTGACCCAGGAATGTTGTTTGGTCCCATCATTCCATAACAACATGAAGTGTTAATAATACCACTTTATAAAGCCTTGGTAAGGCCACACTTGGAATACTGCATTCAGTTTTGGTTGCCACGCAACTTGTTGTTAGTTGTGAAGCCAAGAACAGAGCGGTGTTTTCCAAGGGAACATTTTATAAGAATGAGCTTAAGGCTCAAGACATCATTGCTATAGTTCAGCAAAATCCCATATGCAAAATCCGAGATTATAACCCAGTTTGCAACACAAACTGGAACTTGCTGGATAGATTTTAAATGCAAAGACCATCTCTCTCTCTCTCTCTCTCTCTCTCTCTCTCTCTCTCTCTCTCTCTCTCTCTCTCTCTCTCTCTCTCCCTTCTCTCTCTTTCTTGTTCCCTCTTTTTCTCTCTCTCCCCCTTCTCTCTCTCTTTCTCTCTGTCTCTCTGTCTCTCTCCCTTCTCTCTCTCTCTTGCTCCCTTTCTCTCTCTCCCTTTCTTTCTCTCTCCCCTTCTCTCTCTCTCCCTCTCCCCCTTCTCTCTCTGTCTCTCTGTCTCTCTGTTTCTTTCTCTCTCACTGTCTCCCTTTGTCTCTGTCTCTCCTTCTCTCTCTCTCTCTTTGTCTCTTTCTCTGTTTCTCTCTCTCTCTCTCTCCCTGTTTCTCTCTGTCTCTCTCTGTCTCTGTCTCCCCTTCTCTCTCTCCACTTCTCTCGTGCCCCTTCTCTCTCTCTTTGTCCCTCTCTCTGTTTCTCTCTCTCCCTGTTTCTCTCTCTTTTTCTCTTTTTGTCTCTGTCTCTCTCCCCTTTTCTCTCTCTCTCTTCTCTTTCTCTCTCTGTCTCGCTCTCTCTGTCTCTCTCTCCCCTTCTCTCTCTGTCTCTTTATCTCTTTATCTCTCTCTCTGTTCCTCTCTGTCTCTCTCCCCCGTCTCTCTGTCTCTGTCTCTGTTTCTCTCTCTGTCTCTCTCTCCTTCTCTCTCTCTGCCCTTCTCTCTCTCTCTCTCTGTCTCTTCCCCCCTCTCTCTCCATTTTCTATTCTTTTGTTTATCTGTCATCTGTCTTTCTGCCTCTGTCTAGAGCATCCCTCTCTATTTTTCTATCATCTATCTATTATCCATCTGTCATCTATATAGCATCTATTTTAATTTCTTATCATCTATGTTTTATCTTCTCTCTTGTTCTCTCTGAAGGGAAAGAGGGAGGGAGGCAAGCAGGCTTAAAATAAGATAGATAGATAGATAGATAGATAGATTAACAGAGTTGGAAGGGATCTTGTATGTCATCTAGTCTAAACCCCCCCCCCAAGCAGGAGACCCTACACCATCCCTGACAAATGGCAGTCCAGTCTCCCCTTGAAAGCCTCCAGTGATGAAGATTATATGACTCAAAGGTGCTTTTTTCAAGAAGCAACTGGACTTTCTTGTTTTTTCTTTGAAGATGTTTCGCTTCTCATCCAAGAAGCTTCCTCAACTCTGAAGAAACATCTTGGATGAGCCGAAGAAGCTTCTTGGATGAGAAGTGAAACGTCTTCAAAGAAAAACCAGAAAGTCCAGCTGCCTCTTGAAAAAAAGCACCTTTGGGACAACCTTGACCCGATGACTGAGAATCTCCATTAGACAAGATTATATGACCTTCGTAATAATTATCAGAAAACTTCATCTGTTGGAGCACACCACCTTAAGAAGCAGCAGTAAGAAAAATACCCACCA